AGCCCCACTAGGTACCAAAACAGTAACCCTTTAGAACAGTAGAACTACCCCACAGGGTTTCCAAAGCTATAAGTTTTTATGGAAGCAGACTACCTCATCCTTCTTCCATAAAAATAACAACTTCAGTGAATTGAAACATACTCATTATGTTAAAATTCATTAATTTATAATGAAAAAAATGTTGGTCACCTTTGGAGGATGCTAGGGAGCTGTTTTGGTTACCTAGTGCCACTGTGACAGGAATATACCACGGATGGGATGGCTTTAACAAACAGGAGTTTATTCTCTTACAGTTCTGGAGGCTAGAAGTCCAAGTTCCAAGTGCCAGGCTCTAGGGGCTGGGTGAAAGCCCCTCTGCCTTGGGCTTCAGGTCTGCCTCTTGCTCCTGGCCCAGTGAAGCCAGAGGCATCTCCTCACTCAGGCAGCTACTGGTTGCTGAGTCTAACAAACCCAAGGTTGACAAATAAAATGGCACAGTCCCGATGTTACCAAACCACATGGCAGGCCATTGATTGAAGTCCATTGAAAGTCCCAGGATCAGCAGAGCATGGCAGGCTGCTGAACAACAACATGGCTACATGCAGGGTTCAAGTGTGCCATAAGCTAGAGACCATACCCAAAACAGCTACTCAGCTGCTTCATTAGATTCCACCATGGAGTTAATTACCAATCTTACCATGATGAATAACTACATTCAGCTGCCCAGCCACTCAACCAGGCCCAGCCAAGTTGACATGCAAACTTAACTACCACAGGAGCCAACTAAGAAGCATTGGGGGTGCAACGGTTAAGCACATCGCTGCTAATGGAAAAATTGGCAGTTCATATCAACCAACTGCTCCATGGGAGAAAAGATCTGACTCTCTGCTCCTGTAAATATCACTGCCACAGACACTCTGTGGGCAGTTCTACTCTGTCATGTAGGGTCGCTGTGGGTCAGAATCAAGTTGACAGCAAATAACAACATCAGGGAACCAACTTATTCTGAAAGCTGGTGAATAAAGAAAGAATCAAGAACTTAACCTACCTTTCCTGTACCTTGGGTTAACCAAGTAGTTGATGTGGTAAAGTTTTTCTCTATAGAAGTATTCTAGCTAATAAATCAGGAAGGAATGATAGAATTAGCATATTACCATTTTCAGACTCCAGATAAAATAAATAAGGAGCTCTAGCGGCATAATGGCATTCAACTGCTAACCAAAAGTTTGGCCATTTGAACCCACTAGCTGCTTCTCAGGAGAAAAATGAGGCAGTGTGCTTCCTTAAAGATTTACAACTTTGGAAACACTATGAGGCAGTTCTACTCTATCCTGTAGGGTGGCTATGAGTTGGAATTGACTCAATGGCAGTGGATTTGGTTATGGTTTGGATAAAATAAAGGATTTAGGCATTGATCATTACGGTCACTAACATCACAAAAGGAATCCTTATGACACAATGGTTGTGCACTCAGCTGCAAACCCACTAGTGGCTCCACGGGAAAAAAAAGACCTGGTGATGTGCTTCCATAAAGATTACAGCCTCAGAAGTCCTAAAGAGCAGTTCTAGTCTGTCATATAGCATTGCTTTGAGTCAGAATTGACTTGACAAGACACAAAGCATCACAGAAAGAAAGACAAATGGGCTTTACGCATCTCCTAAGGGACGTACACACCACCTCATATGAAGAGGTTGCCAGAATATCTAGTTGAATTAGTCTAAGCCTTCATATCCAACCAGTTTAAATGAACTAAGAGGGAAGGGGGTTAGGGGGTGGCAGAGGAACATGTTAAGACACCACAGAGTTACAAGCAGTTAAATACAGATTATGGGAAACCATATGGTACAAGTGACCAATTTTCTTCAACAAATAAATTGTAAAGGAAAAAGATAGGGGAAGGGGAGCAACTTATGTAGAAAAGGGACTTAGGAGACAAATCACTGGCATTCAGTATGTGGATCTTATTTTTATCCCAATTTAAGCCAATCAACTATAAACAGACATATTAAAGGTCAGGGAAATTTGAACATGAACTAAATATCTTAAGATTTTAAGGAACTGTGGTAATTCTTTGGGGTGTTATAATGTTGTTATATTGATATAATGGTATTTCATTTTACTTGGATTCACAGTCAGTGTCCACGGAAATAGGAGTCAAGAAATTAAAGACATAACTGCATTGGGTAAATCCGCTGCAGAAGAGCTCTTAAAAGTGTTAAAGAGCAAAGATGTCACTTTGAAGGCTAAGATGTGCCTGACCTAAGGCACAGTATTTTCAGTAGCCTCATATGCATTTGTGAGTGCTAGACAATGAATAAGAAAGACAACAGAAGAATTGATGCATTTCAGTAGTGGTGTTGGCCAAGAATATTGAATGTACTATGAACTGCTAGAAAAATGAACGAATCTCTCTTAGAGGAAGTACAGCTGGAATGCTCCTTAGAAGCAAGAATGGCCAGACTTTGTCTCTTGTATGTTGGTCATGTTGTCAGAAGGGACCAATCCTGCAGAAAGATATCATGCTTGGTAAGGTAGAGGGTCAGCAGAAAAGGGGAAGACCCCCTTGAGAAGGATGAATACAGTGGCTGAGACTGTGGGCTCAAGCATAGCAACGATTGTGAGGATGGCACAGGACTGGGCAGTGTCTCATTCTGTTGTACACAGGGTTGCTATGAGTTGAAACTGACACTACGGCACCTAACAACAGCAATATTATGGTTCAAACACACCCACAACTGCAGTCCTTCCCTACTGTGGCAGAGCTTTTCACTCCCAGCTTGCCTAATGTGTTTGGAGAGCAGATGAGAAAATAGGCTCTCTGTAGGCAGAACCCAGGAAGGGACAAAGGATGCTGAGCCCATGAAGCCCAGTATATCCTTCCAAATTTGCCAAGGGGATAAACCATTTCTTTAACTTCTATAATATTTATTTATTTTTATTGTGCTTTGGGTACCCATTTACAGAGCAGAATTTGTTTTACTTTCAACAGTTCACATACATTTGGTTTTACTCCCCAATTACCATTGCCAACCCTAACCCACTCTCCTCCTCTCCCTTCCCTGTGACCTCCTCCATCCCTGTGCCCTTCTTATTTATGCACTCTTGTCTGTTCAGCTTTCCCTCCATGTGAATGCTGCCCCTCTGGGGCCCCATGGCTGATTGCTCCAAGGAGTGTATCTCTGTAGAGTAGGTGCGTGCATCGCCCTGGGTTGGGTGTTCTGCATGTAAGTCTTACTACTGTTGCGCTGAGAGCCAGCCCTTGGGAGTGAGTCTTATCCCAGGCCCGAAATATATCCCAGGGCCATAGTCTTGGGGGTCCCACCAGACTCCATCCAATCAGTAATTCTGGTTGTTACTGTATTCTTGAATTTTGTTTCACATTCTTCCTCCTACTCTATCCAGGATTTCCAGTTTTGATCCCTTCCCAAGTGATTGGCTTTGGTAGCCAGGCACCATCTAGTTCTTCCAGCCTCAAGATCCATCATATCCAAGTACTGATTGTTTCCAAATGCCCTTGGCTTTTTTCACTGTTCGTCACTTCTGATGATAGGAGACAATTAGCTGCATCTTAGATGGCCACTCGAAAGCTTTTAAGACCCCAGTCGTTACTCACCAAAGTAGGTTGTGGCAAAAGATTATTATGTTTTATGTTGTGCCAGTTGAGCCTGGTGTACCCCAATGCTATGGTCCTGAGTTGGCAGACCCGGTGGTTCTCTCTCCCAAGAGACCTGTCTTTGAGGGATTACTCCAAGTCTGTCTTCTGTTGCTTCTGTAATTGTGGTTATTTTGTATCACTAGTGTCTGTGCAAGATTATCCTCAGATGAATCTATCATTGATCTAGAGTATATTCCTGTTCATCGACCCCCATCTGATCTTCTTTGTTGTCTATGCATTTATCTGTAGCCTGATGATTGGTGTTAGTGGTGATGCAGTATTGTATCACTGATATTAGCCTCTGTCGTCTATATCTTATATGCACAATTTGGTGTCCTCCCTTTTCCCCAGTGTTTCCCCATGCTGGTTATAGACTCTTTCCATACTATCCTTCCCCTTATCCAACTCGGCGTGTTGCTGCCAACTAGTCAGAAATTTTCCCCTCCCCTTCCCTCCCATCCCCAGTAACCTACAAAGTGAGTTCCCTTCCCTGTGCAAACCCTTCCTTGACTTTTTATAGTATATTTGTCCTGCAATTGACTTATTTCAGTCAGCATAACATCCTCCAGATTCACCACATTGTGAGATGATTCGCATATCCTTCATTGTTCTTTAATGTAGCATAGTATTCTATTGTGTGAATGTTCCATAGTTTGGTTATCCATTCATCTGTTGATGGGTGTTTAGGTTGTTTCCATCTCTTTGCTATAGTGAATTGTGCTATGATGAACATGGATGTGCATATGTCTGTTCATGTTCTGTCTCTCACCTCTTTAGCATATATTCCTAGTAATGGAATTGCTGGTTCAAATGATATTTCTATTCTCAGTTTTTTAGGGAAACACCATACTATTTTCCACAATGGTTGTACCATTTTATAGTCCCACCAGCAGTGTATGAGAGTTCCAAAATCATTTATTTTCCATTGAGGATGAATGTGTGTGGGGTTCAGAGAGAGGGCTGAGTGTTACTGAAAGACTGTCCCCTCCACATGGATGAGACATAATGTTTATCACAAAGGAGGCTTAAGCAAGATAGCACATGTATAGCACTCAGAACCAACTTCTGTCTGCTTTGTCTGTGCTGGCCTTGTTGTTGTAACTGCTTACATACAACGTGGAGTGAGAGTAAAGGATCTTCTATACACAGCTCTGTATACTGTGTTTGCAGGGGCCAGAAGCAGGACTCCAGGGTGCCAAGTAGAAGACAGTATTCTGAAATGACTAAACTACACGCAGCTTTCACTCTTTCCCTAAAGGCAGGAGAAAAAGTGAGATTTGCTGTTCACCAAACCACATGCCAGAATTCTCTTGGCAAGATGAGAGCTGAACCTGTCCTTTCCCTCTCCCCTGTGTTTCCCTCCAGCTGCAACAGCAAACGCTACCTGGAGACACTCCCCAACACGAGCATCATCATCCCTTTCCACAATGAGGGCTGGTCCTCCCTACTCCGCACCGTGCACAGCGTGCTGAACCGCTCACCCCCTGAGCTGGTCGCAGAGATCGTACTGGTGGATGACTTCAGTGATCGAGGTAGGACCCGCCCCACCCAGCTTCCTGCCCCTACAGTCCACCCAGTGACTCACCAAAGGGGTGCCAAGTTTTCTGTTCTCCTCCTCTTTCTTCAGCTCCTCACCATATAGGCCACATGTTCACTGAAAGCTTACTGTGTGCCAGGCCACAAACCTTGCACTGTATACACATTATCTCATTTAATCCTCACAACTTATGAAGTAGGTTGCATTTTTACCCATTTGTATCAATTTAGAATGTACTAAATTGCAAATTACAGAAAACTTGATAAAGAGTATCTTAAACAAGTAAGATTTATTTGATGTCTTTTACGTAGCAAGCACTTTAGGACTAGAAGATGACATCAAAGAACCAGGCTTCTCTCTTTCTCCTTCTTCATCTTAATGGTCAAAAAAATGGCTGCTGTACCTCTGGAAAGTCTGCCTTTCAGACAGGAAAAGAGGCAAGAGCAAAAGGCACAAAGCCTCCTCCATCAAGACTTTGCCTTCTGTTTTGATTTTTGGTATTTTGGTTTTTTGTTTTGCCTTCTGTTTTGGTATAACAGAGATACCACAGTGGATAACTTTTACAAACAGTGATTTATTGTCTTACAGTTTAGGAGGCTAGAAGTCCATGTTCAAAGTGCCAGCTCTAGAAGCTGGCTGAAGGTTCCTTGATCTTGGGCTTCAGCTCTGCCTCCTGCTCCTGTTCCACTGGAGCTGGAGGTGGCTCTTCACTCAGGCAGCTGCCAGCTGCTGAGGGTGACAAACCCATGGTCGACAAGTAAAAGGGCACAGTCCCAAGATTAGCAGACTGTGCGGCAGGCCACTAGTTCAAGTCCAGAAACAGGCCTAAGATTGGTAGGTGACATGGCTGCTGAATGAGGAGTTGGCTACATGCAGGGTCCAGGTGTGCCAAAAAGCTCAGAGACCTTGCTCAAAGTGGCTTCTTATATTCTGGGAGTAGACCACATCCTTAAGGCAGCTACTCAGCTGCTCACAGCAGATTCTACCATGGAGCTGATTACCAATCTCGTCATGGGGAATCACTACATCCAGCTGCCTAGCCACTCAAAATCAGGCCCAGCCAAGTTGACACATAATGTTAACTACCACACCTTCTTATTCAAAAAAGACTTTCCAGAGGCATGTGGGCAGAAATGTAAAATCTGGCCACCCCTATCTACAAGTGAGGCTGGGAATGTGTTTTGTTTTGGGCCTCTTCAGCAGAGAGATCAAAGGGACAAGTGTATTAGAGCAGGTGTCAAGTGAGCCCAACTACAGTATCTGCCATTTTACAGGTGAGAAAACTGAGGCTCAGAGAGGTCAATGACTTCATCATGGTCTTGTAGCTCTTAAGTGGTGTCACAGTAACCAAACCATGTCTGCCTGGTCCTAAGCATGTGATCTTTTTTTTTATTATTAACTTTGTGTGTGTTGTGTGTGTGTGTGCTTTAAGTACAAGTTTACAGAGCAGAGTTTGTTTTACATTCAACATTATGTATACATTTAGTTTGCATTTAGTTTCACTCCCTATTTACCATCCCCAACCCTAACCCAGTCTCCTCCCCTCCCTGCCCAATAACCACGCTCCCCCCCGCCGTCGTGCCCCTCATAGTTATGCACTCCTGTGTGTCCTGCGTTTCCTCCATGCGAATGTTGCCTGTCTGGTACCCCATGGTCAATTGCTCCAAGGGATGCATTTCCATAGAGTATGTGGGTTTGTCACCCTGGGTTGAGTGGTCTGCATGTACATCTTGTTTACTGTTGGCCTGAGAGCCAGCCCCTAGGAGTGAGTTTTATACCAGGCCCAAAATGTATCCCAGGGCCATAGTATTGGGTTGTCTCACCAGACTCCATACGACCAGTAATTTTGGTCATTATTGTGTTTTTGGATTTTGTCCCATGTTTTTCCTTCTACTCTTTCTTGGATCTCCAGCTTTGATCCTTTCCCAAGTGGTTGGCATTTGTAGCCAGGCACCATCTAGTTCTTCTGGTCTCAAGGTCCATCATGTCCTAGGGCTGATTGCTTCCAAATGCCCTTGTTTGTTTGCATTCTTCTTCTCTTCTGATGCTAGGAGACCATTAGCTGCATCATAGATGGCCACTTGGAAGCTTTTAAGAGCCCAGTCACTAGTCACCAATGTAGGATGAAGAACAAGATTTTATATATTTTGTTGTGTTAATTGAGTATGATGTCCCCCAGTACTATGGTCCTGAGTCAGTAGATCTGTTGGATCTCTCTCCCACAGTTTTTGGCTATCTGTGAGGGATTACTCTATGTCTGTCTTCTACTGTTTCTATAAGGATTGTAGGTATATTGTATCACTGTTATCTGTGCAAGATTAGCCTGTGCTGACTCTAACTTTGGTCTAGAGTATACTCCTGTTCACTGACCCCCATCTCATCTTCTCAGATTTTTATGTGTTTATCTGTAGCCTGGTGTTTGGTGTTAATGGTAATGCAGAATTGTGGATACACTGGTTGGTATTAGCATCTGTCTTCTGAATCTTATGTGTACAATTTGGTGTCCTCCCTTTTCCTAATGTTATCATGGTGGTCACAAACTCTTTCTATACCATCCCTCCCCTTACCCATGTCAGCATGTGGCCCCCAACTAGCTCAAAATTAACCCCTCCACTTCCCTAACCACACTGGTAACCTACAAAGTAAGTTCCCTTTCTTAAGCAAACCCTTCTTTGTCTTTTTACAGTAATCAGCTTATACAGCATTTGTCCTTTGATTGACTTATTTCACTAAGCATAATGTCCTCCAGGCTTATCCACGTTGTGAGATGATTTGTGTATCCTTGATTGTTCTTTAATGTAGCATAGTATTCCATTAAGCTCTGTATCTTCAGCCAAAACCAGGCCAGGAGCTGATTGTGGAACAGACCATCAACTACTCATATGCAAGTTCAACTTGAAGTTAAAGAAAATTAAAGCAAGTCCAAGAGAGCCAAAATATGATCTTGAATATAGCCCTCCTGAATGTAGGGACCATCTAAAGAACAGATTTGATGCACTGAACACCAGTGACTGGAAACCAGATGAATTGTGGGATGACATCAAGAGCATCATCCAT